ATTTTTATTAACATTTTACATCTTGAAATAGATTATTTAATTCCTTGTTGAAGTTAGTCACGGTTGACTGGTACGCTATTTTTCCGTGTTGACTATTAAAGAGGGTACAAGCGTTAGGCAATATAATACATTAAAATAAAGGAGATATATGTACTGAATATTATGTAGTAGTAGCTTTTTAAGGCTTTGTATTTTGCTACAAGCAGCGGTGGAAAATTGATCAATTTTATATTTGTTGCAAGGAGAAAAATGCATAGCCTCAGAATAGTACTACAACATAATTTTACTTTTATTATATACCTTTCTGTTTTTAGTAAAATGATTTTCATTAAACTACACTTCTATAAGAAATTTCAGAAAATAAAAAATAAATATATGACTGACGGATGAATACGTAATTTATGCAAAACCGGCGACGCCTCTTATAATTTTGGTTCCCGTTTCTAAATGCTACGTAAGACACAGCTAAGCCGGAATAAACAGTATTTAAATGTTACAGAGAATTTATTTATCTATGTAGAGATAGTGTTCCATTAAAATTATAAGTAAGAGGTTGAAAGTAGAAATAGAATAGCAGTCACTATAGAAGTAAACTGTGTGGAACCAGCCAGCCCCCTTAACAGACTACCTGAATATACCTCTACCGAGAGACCACACTACCAAAGGTTTTTACCTCACGGTCTTGTCCGTGACAGGTTGGCAGAGCTATCAATAATTCTTTGGAATAAATGTGTTTAAACAGATAACAACAAACATTTTTTATTCTACAACCGTGCTTTATTTTGTTTAACAAAATTGTTGTCTTATAAGAAAACAAATGTATTAGATAGGCAAAACAAACTGAATTTAAGCTTCATTATATTTAATTTAAAAACAGAGATAAGAAATGCAGAGGTAAGCATATTTTTTTTCTAAAATAGCACACATGCCTTACTTAAAAGCTTACACTAAGGAACAGCTAAAAATAAATACTGCCATCAACAAAAACATCAAGTATTTACGTCACAGAAGACATTATATACATGCAATATTTCTACAAAACAACACATCGTTGATACGTTACTGATGAAAAACTAAGAAAATCATGAGTGATCTAACGAAGCTTTTGAAAACATAAGATAAATTAGGTTAACTAGCAACGCTAGAGTGACTGTATTATTATTGAAGTCAAGATTTTTAAAATCATTGTCAAAGCGTTACTTCTTCATTTCTAAATGTTCAAAAGAGAGAAAAAAACAAACACAGTCTCTAGCTAAAAATTTCCTAGTTACTTTTAAGAAACTGTATACATTGTATAACGTATATATTAAATAACGTCCACAAGTTCGTTTTTTCCCGAAGAATAACCGACTTTATATGTAAAGGAAATATCATAGTCTTTCGTAATGAGCATACCCCCAACCCACATTATGTCGAAAAAGGGAATGTTTAACTTAGAAGAACGATTAAATGTTATAATCAAAAGTTTTGTTAACAACACAATGCACTCTGTCTCGCCGAGATATGTCTGCCAGTAAATTCAAGTTGATGCCAGTTTTTGAGATAATTATGAGTTTAACAAAATCTAAGTATGAAAAAAAATAATAAAAAAATCAATAACAAAGGGGATTTTCTAAAATGTAGCTATGATAGCAGAGGTATGTTTCTTTCTGCCTCGCCAAGCCATATTAACATGCAAAGTTTGATTTCGATACCTTTCTTTTAAGTTTGAAAATTTACAATGGGCAAATACTGAAAATTATGAAAGCCAGAATTATGAATTCATTATTTTTCACACTGTTCTCTGTCTCACCATGACGTGTATATCGATACAAGTTTTGTACCATATTGGAGGTATGGACAGTTTAAAATAAACGTGGCGGGACGTGACATTGCTTGTTTCCAATAAAGCGTCCACAATAAGTGGTGGGGTTAAAAACTTGAAAGAAAGAAAACGAGCGTCAGAAACAGTGTGAAAAAGTAACGCTCGTATTCCAAAAATGTCTGAATATTTCCATAGATAATAACGAAGAAAACCAAATCACTAGTGTTTGGACATTTTGCATTTGCTAACTGTACTACTTCTCACTCGAAACGAACGCTGTTTTGCCATAAACCCTCTAAGTCTTCTAAACTGGCTCCGTAAACTTGACAAATATGTATCGCTGATGCTCTTGCAACTGCTTTGTAGTTGAAACCATTCGACAGAACGTCCTTAATTCCCACAGGTAGCTTTACTAGAATTTAAACTGAAAACATTAAAAGTATGTGTTATCTCAATTGAAAATGAAATACATATAATTATATTACAAAATGAAATACAAAAAAATCCCTTAATACATACATGTATACAAAAGTTTATATACAAATAACATGTATTTTGTACTTGGTATGTGACCTAAGTTATTGATACTGAACAAGTGAATAAAGTTTCAATATTATATCATAACTGGTTTATGGGACCACATCTGACAAAACATTTTAGCTTTAAAAATGGGCATAAATACGAAATACACTCATACGAAACTTGGTCATTGATCTAAGATGTCAATACTTAATATGTGTTCTAAGTTTCAAATGAATCGCTACAATAGTGTTTGAGAAACCATTTTTTATGAAAATTCTAAACCATGAATTCAAAATCGAAAAAGAGGGCATAATTTGATAACAATGCAATTCAGAGATTTCTAACTTAGAGCCGTGTTCTAAACAAGTGTGTGTGACGTTTCAAAGCTGTATGTTTTTATTATTTTTGAAATACATGTACCATGTTTCATGAAACTTTTCTTAACCACAAATTTCTTTGTTTCAAAAATAAAGGTATATAATTTGGTCTATATTCAATATTAGATGGACGAAGAATGAACTACGGATGAAAACGATTTGTAACGTTCAGCAAACAACAATGCGAGACTGGTTTGGATTTAAAAAACTGGAACCCATATAAAAAATAAAGCGTTTGATTCATACGCTGTATGTCAAATTTGAGATTATATATCCCTGTCCGGAAATCAAAATAAAAAATGGATACCCAATGCAATGCAATGCAAGCAAAGAATTTTCTTTTCTTAATCAATTTAAAAGGCTTATATAAGAATAACATTCTGTTCTTGCATATGAGCCCACATATTTTGTTTTTTTTAAACAAGTCTCCAGGAAACTTAGGTAAATGAACTTACCTCGTCTGAATCGGTGTCATATTCTACCATATTTCCCTTGGAAATTATAATTATGATGGAAAGCACGTGGAAAATAACAAAATCCATAAGTCAAAAATCAAAAGTCATAAATCAAAAGTCATAAATCAAAAGTCATAAGAAAATAGTAAAATAAATCTATAAGTCAAAACTCAAAAGTGACCCTCCAAGGCTTCCATAGAATTGAGATATTGTTGGTATTTTCAGGCTAACCAGATTTTTCAAAATTAGACAAATGTCCATTCAGAAATGGAAAGTATTTTCCTTTTTACTGAAACTGTTCCTTTTGAAACAGAAGAACACCAAATTTATTCTTTTTTACATCTATGTTAGCAATATTTACTAATAAAAAAAATTACCTTTATGTTAACCAAAGTAGTGAACTCTTTATCGACCAATTTCTTTTTAAAATGGCATGAGTGTTTGACGAGAACATTAAGAAACACCAAATGCATTTTTAAACCAGTGCACGTACATGTAGCATCATTATACTCTTCCTAGTAAACTTCTTTGGAAATACTAGTTACAAATTAATAGTTTGGTTCATACACAATATTACATACAAAATAGTTTTGTACAAAAGCGTTGAAGTACACAATTGTTGAAAGAGTAAAAAAGTGAATTATACAAGTGCAGACCTAATATAATAAATACAAATAATAACAATAAAAAAACCACAAAAAAAACAACAAAATAAAAAATCCTGACAGCTGGAAGTAATAAAGTGATTTTTTCCTATGTCCTATAGAGGCAAACTCTGACATTACAGTCGTACTTCAGTTGCTAAATTTTCATACTTTTCATTGCAATCTCCTCCGTCGTCGAGGGGTTAGAGTCGATGACTTCTAATCCAGTTACCTCTCTGGCGTGGGTTCGATCCCCGGGAGATACTTTGGTAGTTTAGCACGGAGGAAGGTAGTCTAGTATTGGTCTCATACTGGTGTTACTCTCCAGGAACGATGGTAGGAAACTACCCGCCTGTATGACTGAAATACTGTTGGGAAAAGGCGATAAGTGAAACAAACAAACAAACAAACAAACAAACAAACAAGCAATCTACAGAGAAACCCCTTAAAGTCACTCAACAGGGTAAAATTAAAAATGCTGTATGATTGAATCTTTACGTGATCGTGAACAAGTCCAGTATACTAGATTGATGAAGCAAGAATATCAAGGAGGTACTAGTACTTTTATCAAAAAGAAGGTTACATATATAATAATGATAAATCAGAAATCAAATACAAAGCTACCGTCACAGGTTTTTTGAATGTTCAAATAATATGCACATTAACGTAGATATTTCAAAAGGCTATTTTGTAATTAGAATAAAAGATGTTTAGTGTATGTCGAATATTTGTCACTAGGGGCATCATCCTCGTGCAAGTAATTGATATCTTTAAAGTGGAACGTATAATCTATTGACTATGATTGCCTGGAAGTAAGTTGGGGTCAATTTCGGCAGCGGAACCCCGTCTTGACTTTTATTATTTCGACGACCTATAAATATTTGGTACAGTAAGTCATCCATCCTGTCAATGTAAAATAATTGTCACTATGTAACTTGGGAACATGTTTGAGAAATTGTATTTCATATCTGTCTGGTGTTTTTCTACTGATATTTTCAAGAACACGAAATCTATCCAACTTTATTAAAATGCATGTGTAAGTGCTACTTCCCTTGTCATACTTTACTATATCAATCTAAAATGTTAGCGTATTTAACATAAAGTTGTTCAGCGCATTCCAACGTAAACCCGCCTTCTTATACGATCCATAATTACCGCATTTGGTATGTTCAATCCATGTTTCGATGACGAGAAACCTTAGATTTATTCTTTATTATTTATTCTTATTCTAAAGAATAAAATCAACAAACTAGCACTTTCTTTAAACTATCAAAACGGATACTTGACGCGTTTAAAAGACTGTCCGGCACTCCTCCACTTTTAGTTAAGATAATTCGTCTAAGCTTATCTTGTTTATCGGAAACTATCGTTCTTCCATCGTGTAAGTTAACGGGTCTTGTCAAACGTATAAACATAGCGGTACCTTCCATGGGTCTTAGAATTACATATATTCATCCGAGCTCTTGAGTCCATTGATATCGCCATATATGTTTTCCAAATATTTCAAAACATTGAGCATTTTTGTCACATGCAGGATAAAACATTGAAACACAAGTGTAAGTTCTACTACTATAGTTACACACCGCAAATTCCGTTATAACTTTATGAATATAAAATGTCAGCGTATAAAATACAGTTGTTATTGTGCATGCCAACGTAAAGCCGCCTTCTTATACGGTCGAAGAATAGCGCGCAGGGTGCGTTCACTCCATGTTTCACCGACAGAAAAGAATTTGTTTTGGCAGTTTCCTGATTGATTTCTAACACCTCGTCAGTGTCAAAACAACAAACAAACACTTTATTCAAACCATCAGAACTGATACCTCTTGCCTCGTTTGCGGGTATACTTTTAAGAACTCTTCCACTTTTATTTAAGATATATACTCCGAAAGCTGCATCGGAGATGTATAACGTGTCACCAAATTCGTCTATGTCAATTTGTTCTGGTTTATAAATGCCAATTGGTTTTATATCTATACTTTTTACAAGCTGTAAATTTTCCCGGTCTTGTAAATAGTATATGCATACTGTGCATGAGCCTAAAAAATACAAATATTCATCCAGGCACTTCAGTCCGTTGCAATCTCCCAGCTCTTCGTAGGTGCTCAATGTTTCATGCCCCCTCTCAAATATCTCCAAACACAGAGCATCTTGATATGCAACAGCTACGATGTCGTCAGGAAAACACGTTATACACATCGGATGGTCCTCTAAATAAAATACTTCTTTTAATAGTAAAGTGTCGAAGTAGAATATTTTCATACATTTGTTGGCATGGTCTGCAATCATCAAATTGCCATTTCTCATTTGAGCGAAATCGATGGCAGTACATGATTTACTATCTTCATCTATTAAAATCTTTAGCTGACACGGGTTTGACCTTGATTTTTGTTTTACCATGACTTTTTTCTGATCTTTGGTAGAGTCAGAACTGTAAAATATACAAGAAGCATGAAAATAAATGAAATTGTGATTAAAATTCGTGTTTCCTTTCGACAAACATATTTTGCAATAGACCAACTTAAAAGATATGATATGCACAAACGGCTGCATATTTCGAGGAAAATCTTCACTTTACTAGATCATTCATGAGAATAATGACCTGGTTAACATATTGATTGTGACCTTTGTGTTTTTCTGTACTACAATTATGCATAAAAGGTTACAGAGCCGGTTTTCCAGTAGTGCCAAAAATATAATTTTGTCGTACAAGAAAAGATACCGAGTTGTTGTTACGCAGGTTGAACACCACCCTATGCGATTTGTAGCATTTTCAAGTTAAAAAATTTGTGCATTCTCGTACCTGGCTAATATCATAACGTGTGATTTTACTACGGTTCATATGTTTACTAGGGAAAAACATACGTCTTGTCACCATAACTCTACAGTAATATAGTTTTTGTTTGAATATATAACATATGTTAAATAGAATTTATGGATTTTATGTTTTATTAAAATTCAGAAATTGCAGATCATTCAATAGAGAAATAGTTTGTTTTAGTTCGAAATTTATATCTGGTATATCTGATCAGCTTTAATACTGCTTAACAGCCTCATTCCTTTCCTTTGGGTCTGATGTTATTTATTTCTACGGTATATCCCCAAAATGAAGCGTTTAAATAAACCCAATTTTCGATCGTTCAATTTAAACTGACCTTTCCGCTGTTTACTGTTTTATGCAAAATGGTTGACTGGCAACCTAATTGCTACACTTGACTCATGCATAGCCACTAGTTGAACTGGTTTACACAAAGAACCGCATGGTTTGTGATATTGTTTGTTTTTATTTTTATTCGCATGAACGTTAAAAGACGCATCTGCACAATTGGTTTTGTAAAGCACTCGCCATTTAATTAAAGTGTTACTTTTTGTACGAGTCATTCTGAAGTGCTCCTAGAAATTACTATACAAAAAAACACCAAACAACAACTCGATTTTAGGTTTACTATCTACATATTATTAAGAAGTACATGTATATAAATGCTCACCTTTCCGTTCTTGTAAGAAGTGAATTCATTTCTCGGTGATTTGTAAACTTAGCATGAAATCTTAGGCATTTGTAGCACAGTTTCTTCCCATTGTTACCACAAACTTCACAGAAGTGCGTGGCTTTGCTTCTCACTTCATCTTGGAGGCAATATTCACAAAGTAATTCATTATCACCGGATCTAGAGTGTAATAAGAATTCCGAGCCTAACTGTTTCACTGCAGGCTTACATTCTTGACTGAGGTTCCTAACAGTACTTTCTGTAATGTCACTCTGAGCGTCTTGCAAGCTTAAGCAAGAACTTCCGGAATCAGTAGTGCTCTCATTTCCCGCTGTAACACTTAATGTAGAAATACTATTTACCACCGATCCAGTTTGATCCTCACCGAAATTTTCTCTGAAACTCATATAAGAACTTGTATCTTTGATAGTTTCTTCATCATCATCTCTAACCGACCCTCTTACACTTAATGTCGAGATACTTTTTAAATCAGAATCGCCAGACTGTCCACGATCACCTCCTTCTGCCATTATTTTCAATGAATACGTGCATTAATTTCAATATCGAAAATAGCAGAATTGAAAAAAGAAATTATGTTCATACAAATACACACATTTGTCAAACGTAATTATCCAATGTTATAACTGTAAAGTTTTTAATGCATACTTAATAGAGCGTACAAGTAAAGTAAATATTCTTTACAATATCTACAAAATCCAATACATTTATGACATAAAAATCTATCTTAGAAGTCAGCGTTTAAATAATAATATCTATTATCTGTTTACAGAGGTCCAACAAAAATATATTTTCCAGTTTATTTTTAATATTACATTTAGTTATTTTTCTTTTGTATCAAACCATGCAAAATAATGTTCGAAATTTAGCATTTTGTTTTAAAACTGTGATCACTCTTTTCAACAAGTGATATTAACATTTATTTTTCCCTACTTTAACCGTCATCATGCCAAGATCCGTCTTGAAAATTTATTTTATAATTTTGAAATAATTATTTTCATAATCCACCCATAATCGATGCATGTATAATTCATATTTATTCAAAGAAATGCTATCTTTATACTGTACAGTAACACCCTATAATTTTTAAATTACAAAATGTTTCTGTTAAGGTATCGTTCAACAAACGTACATGTAAAATCTTTTATGCAAAATCCTGTTTATGCACCGCATACTTTATATATTACAAAATCGTTTTCAAGTTAATATATATTTTGAGCTTTATTAACAAAATATTTAAAAAACATAATTTGGTATCTATCATATATGCAAATATGTAGTGAGAAACATATATTCAAAACTTAAAGGTTTATGTATATCATTCAACTTTCTAAATTCAAATTTTTACCACTTTCATGTTTATATGTAGATTTTTGCTTAAGCCGGTGCAAGGGGCGTTGACGGTTATTTGCAATTGACAGTGCCGTCCATGAACAGGTTCAATCAAGTTAACACTTTTTCAATTTTGCCATTTTGAACTTTGTGTAGGGATTTCAAATTTCTCTATTTTATACCTATAAATCGTTACATAGGTAAAGCAAAACTGTTTGCAACATAATATCGGTCTTAGCGGTGTTTATCGGCTATTTAACACCAGTTTGGCTTTTTGATGCGTATGAATTGACCACGAAGGCCTTAATTAGGTCTGAGTGGTTAATCTTTTCCCTTCAAAACGACAAAACCGGCGTTAAATAGCCGATAAACACCACTTAGACCGATATTATTTTGATTCTTACACGATAAAATAAGGAAGATTACTCATGTTATTTTTTCAAGCGGAAATAACTTCCGGTGCTGATTTTCGTATAAAGCTGTTCGATTTTCGCACCCTACTGCTGCTAAGATATAGAAATTATTTAAAAAAAATTTTTTTTTTTTAGAGAAAACATTATTTTATCAAGTTTTCAACAATAAAAACTTACGTCTAAGAATGGATTGTATTGCGTTTACATCAGTACCCCATTTATCATTCTGTAAAATCGGAAATAGATTGTTAGATTATAGCATGTAGATAACGCATATTAAATCATTGGGTACAATACCCTAGAATGTTCAATGCTTGAATAATATGTTACGAATTAAAATAAAACAAATGATTCGTAATTTGATCGACTGATAGTTGAAAATTAACGTTTATAACATATTCCTATATTTAACATTCATGAGTAAGGCGTTTTTAATCATATACATGGCTCGGTTATAAAAGCACTGAGAATGTGTAATATAAAGGTGTAAAATAACTGTTATTTTTACAAATATATGTTTCTATTCATGTACAATGCATCCAGACGTGGTCACTTTCGAACAAATTAACGGACACCTTGCAAGTTACCTAATAATTTGATACCACCCATTACAGAAATAGGTAATATGCTTTGTGTAACAAACAGAACATATTCCATATTTTATGTTATTCATTTCAAAAGTCATTTAAATGATATTAAAAAAGAAGGTATCGTCTGCAGCAATTATTGATTTCGCGGGTTGTAGAACTATTCCTAGAAATATTACATGTTTATAATAGCTTAGTTTATTGAAAAGTATTCATTAATACAACTGTATTTTTAAAATTATTTCTTAGAAAATACATAATTATAAATTTATATTTAATGTATTACATAACTTTGATTCTTTGTGAATCAAATCCTTTCTTTTTTTCTCATTAGTTATTGTCATGATACAACAAAATCTTAACGTTAAAAATAAGAAAACAAAGAAAGAAATCAAATATACTTGGAAATAAATGTAATAAATTATACTTTTTATTCATACGTCATGGAGATAAACCATATGGTCTGAATAAAACTGAATTGAGATAATTTTTTCGAAATTAGACAAATGTCTATTCAACAATGGAAAGTTTTGAAACAGAAGAACACAATTTTTTTCTTTTTTTAAAACATCTTTGTTAGCAATATTTACCAATAAAAAGAAATTATCTCTATGTTTACCGAAGTAGTGAGCTCTCTATCGACCAATGTTAAATCTTTTTAAAACGGCATGAGTGTTTGACGAGAACATGAAGAAACACCAAATGCATTTTTTAAACCAGTCGAGTACATGTTGCATCATTATACTCTTCCTAGTGAACTTCTCCGGAAATACTAGTTACAAAGAAATACTGTTTTATTACATACACAACATTACATTCAAATAGTGTTGTACAATATAGATCTACAAAAAGCGTTAAAGTACAAAGTTGGTGAAAGAGTTAGAAAGTGAATTATAAAAGTGTAAACCTAATATAATAAATAAAAATAATAATAATAAAAAAAGATCCGGACAGCTGGAAGTGATAATGATTTTCCTATGTCTATAACATAGAGGCAAACACTGACATCACAGCCGTACTTCAGTTGCTAAATTTTCATACTTCTCATTGCAATCCATAGAGGTAGTCTACAGAGAAACCCCTAAAAGTCACTAAACACGGTAAAATTAAAAAAGTTGCATTATTGAATCTTTACATGATCCAAATATAAAGAAGAACAAGTCCAGTAAACTGATTGGATTGATGAAGCAAGAATATCAAGGAGGTACTAGTTCTTTTATCAAAAGGAAGGTTACATATATAACAATGACAAATCAGAAATAAAATACAAAGCTACTGTCACAGGTTTTTTGAATGTTCAAATAATCTGCACATTAATGTAGATATTTCAAAAGGCTATTTTGTAATTAAAAAAAAGATGTTTGGTGTATGTCGAATATTTGTCACTAGGGGCATCATCCTCGTGCAAGTAATGGATATCTTGAAAGAGGAACGTATAATCTGTTGACTCTGATTGCCTGGAAGTAAGTTGGGGTCAATTACGACAGCTGAACCCCGTCCTTTATTTTATTATTTCGACGCCCTATAAATATTTGGTACAGTAAGTCATCCATCCTGTCAATGTAAAACAATTGTCACTATGTAACATGGGAACATGTTTGAGAAATTGTATTTCATATCTACCTGGTGTTTTTCTACTGAAGAATGATTTTATAATAATTTTCAAGAACATGAAATCTAGCCAACTTTATTGAAATAAATGTGTAAGCGCTACTTCCCTTGTCATACCTAAAATTTTAGCGTATTTAACATAAAGTTGTTCAGCGCATTCCAACGTAAACCCGCCTTCTTATACGAATTACCGCATTTGGTACGTTCAATCCATGTTTCGATGACAAGACTGGCTTAATTTTGACAATTTTGTGACTGATTTTTAAACCTTAAATTTATTCTTTATTATTAATTTTATTCTACAGAATAAAATCAACAAGCTAGCACTTTATTTGAACTACTAAAACGGATACTGACGCGTTTAAGCATACTGTCCGGCACTTCTGCACCTTTAGTTAAGATGAATTCGTCTATGCGAGTTTTACCTTGTTTATGAAAGACAGTGTGGAAATTATAATTCTTCCATCGTGTAAGTTAACGGGTCTTTTCAAATATATAAACATAGTGGTATCTTCCATTGGTCTAAGAATTACACATATTCATCCGAGCTCTTTAGTCCATTGATATCGCCATATATGTTTTCTAAATATAAAACATAGAGCATTTTTGTCACATGCAGGATAAAATATTGAAACACACGTGTAAGTTCTACTACTAGTTACACACCACAAACTATGTTATAACTTTATCAATCTAAAATGTCAACGTATAAAATATAGTTGTTATTGTGCATGCCAACGTAAAGCCGCCTTCTTATACGGTCGAAGAATAGCGCGCAGGGTGCGTTCACTCCATGTTTCAGCGACAGAAACAAATTTGTTTTGGCAGTTTCCTGATTAATTTTTAACACTTCGTCAGTGTCAAAACAACAAACAAATACTTTATTCAAACCATCAGAACTGATACCTCTTGCCTCGTTTACGGGTATTCTGTTAAGAAGTCTGCCACTTTTATTTAAGATATATACTCCGAAAACTGCATCGGAGATGTATAACGTGTCACCAAATTCGTCTATGTCAATTTGTTCTGGTTCATAAATGCCAATTGGTTTTAAATCTATTCTTCTTACAAGCTTTAAGTTTCCCCGATCTTGCAAATAGTATTTGCAAACTGTGCATGAGCCTAAAATATACAAATATTCACCCTGGCACTTCAGTCCGTTACAATCTCCGAGCTCTTTGTAGATGCGCAATGTTTCATGCCTCCTCTCAAATATCTCCAAACACAGAGCATCTTTATATGCAACAGCTACGATGTTGTCAGGAAAACACGTGATACACATCGGATGGTGCTCGACATAAAATACTTCTTTTAATAGTAAAGTGTCGAAGTAGAATATTTTCACACATTTGTTGGCATAATCGGCAATCATCAAATTGCCATTGCTCATTTGAGCAAAATCGATGGCAGTACATAATTTCCTATCTTTATCTGTTAAAATGTTACAATAAAATAGCTGACATGGGCGTGACTTTGGCTTTTCGGCATTTTCCCGATCTTTGGTAGAGTCAGAACTGTAATATATATAAAGAACATGAAAATGAATTATTACGTGATTAAAAATTACTGTTTGATTATTGTATATATATATGCTTGAATTTTGCCCTTTTATATTTTTCCCGGTTATAGCGAACTCATTTCTACTCCCAATTAAGTTAGAATTACAGAAAATTACACTTTTATAATGAACTCCAAAAATATCGATTAACCGTTAAATAGATCCCGCATTTTTTTCTTTGTTCATCGGCACGGCCGATATATACTGTTTATTGTTGTATGTACTTCAATACAGCTAAGGAAGCGGTAGGTAATAGCTTTCTATTAAGGATATTGTTTGCAGGAGTTCTTGTCACAAATTAAAACGATTTTTCATTTTATTCCATTATTTTTTTTCTTTTATATATTGCTCGAGGAAAATAATAATGATCATTTATCTATTTTTAATAGATTTTAAAGAAAACGGCTGTGTATTTTATGGTGGCTGATTTGTGCCATTCGTGTTTTCGCCCGGCGATCCCGCAAAACGAAAAGTCGAAAATTAACAAGTTAAAATGGCGGGGGCGCGGAGCGAAAACACGCTTATAAGCGATGGCACGGGGCGAAGTTTAATAAATAAAACTTTCCCCCGAGGGGGCATGGAGTGAGATAAAAGAAATAAAACGGCGGGGTCACGGGACGAAAACACGCTAATTAGCGGGGTCGCGGGGCGAAGTTTAATAAATAAAACCTCGCTGCGCGCCCCCGCTAATAAGCGTGTTTTCGCTCCGCGCCCCCGCCATTTTAACTTGTTAATTCTCGACTTTTCACTTTAGCGGGGTCGCGGGGATAAAACACGAATGGCACAAATCAGCCACCATAGTATTTCCTTTACAAGATCATTCGTGTTTTGTGTATATCTTAAAAGCATTTGACCTATAGTCATGAAACTTTATAGAAATGTTTGTCGGCATATATAGTTGTGCATCTGGCGGTTTGTTTGTGGATTTATTCAGTTTTTGTAGAGTAATTGCCCTTGACTTAGTAAAAACCATGCAGAAATGTTGTGTAATGTGTACCTTGAGTGTTCGAGTTAGAATCAACAAACTTTACAGAAATGATGATCAACATCACTGTGAAGCTGTACACCTAGGGTTTTGCATGTGTTTTTTTTCAGTTTTGATAGAGTTATTCCCCTTGACTAAGTATAAATTATAGACTTGTTCATGCATAGCTCAAAAGTATTTGACCTGTAGTCCTGAAAATATACAAGAATATTGGACAGCCTGTGTAGTTATGCACCTTAGGGTTTGCTTGTGGAATTATTCAATATTTGTAGAATTTTTGTCATTCACTTAGTAAAAGATTTTCATTTTTCAATTATGGTCACGTGTAGCCCCCGAAAGTTTTGTGGAGTGACAAAACAGTGGAGTGTGGGGGGCACCGTGTCCTATGGATAAATTTCTAGTTATTTGAATATATAAGATATGCTTGACAACGTCATTGCTTTCATTTGCGGCTTATGTTATTTATTTCTACGGTTTAGCTCTAAAAATTAAACCTTTAAACTGTTCCACCTTTAGCTTGTTTAATTCAATTGGACCTTTCAATTGTTTACTGTTTTATGCAAATTGGCTTACTGGCTATCTTGACTAATGTACCGGATTTACTCAAAAGAGCGCATGCGTTTGTTTGTGATACTGTTTGTCAGCAGCTGACCTAGCAATGAATAGAAAATGAATGGCTTTTTCACATCAAAAACTTTATTGTAAAGGTCCAGGGAAAAAGAGAATCATTTTCCTACTGGTGGGCTTATTTTACGCACAGATCTTTGAATCTTGAAGTGACCCATTTCAAAGCATGTATACTTTGTTTTCTTATATTTTATTTTAAGTGTTTTTATTGCATCTGTGTAAATCTAATGTGATATCTGATGACTTAACAACTTGTTATCAATTCGTGTGTATTCTTCAGAACTTAATGTCTAGGACTACGGATAAGGAATATACCACAAGTAGCAGAGAAGACTTTATAAACTGAACAAAATCAACGATAACACAACACATTTGAAATGCTGAAAAAAGGAGTCTACGGTTTTCTAGGCTTATTTCGATTGGATATTGATGACGTTTAAAATAAACGATACCGGTTTCGACCAAATGTAGCTCATCTCAACGTCATTATCGGTTCTAAAGCTTCGTGTGATTTGAATGATCACACAAACACAGATGTTTTTTTTTCATTTTAGACTGAAATGCAAGCACCGTTTTGCAGGGATTGGATTTTCTAGAATTTTCACAAGTGCTAGAAAAGCTCATCCTAAAACCCACGTAAAATAAGTTATATTTATACGCTACTGTAAGAGTAAATCCTAAATAAGTATTATTTTTGTTATTTTCTATCAGAATACGATTTACCAATGTATATTTTCATTGCGATAAAGACTCATACATTGTCCGTGTCATAGGTGGAATTATTTGATAAACGCATTTATACACATAAATCGATATATACACACTTACACAAACTAAACATACACTATTTATAAAAGTACCTTATCTACATGATTATATACACGTATCTACATTAATAACAATCATACACTAATAACAATAATATAAAATATTCATAACTACATAATAATAAAGAATAATTTGAACACCAAACTAAAGTAGATAGTTTATAATGTAGTAGTAGTTTATAGTTAGTGTAGTCGGACCTCCTTATACTTTCGTTTTTTACTTTATTTATTTCGATTAACCTCCTCTCTGTCAATCACTATCGAGTAATCGATATCCGCCATATTTTGAATACAAATGTTAACAGCCTTTTATGCTTTAAAACTATTATCATCCTTTTGTAGTTTTTTATTGATATATCTACAGGTAAACGTTTGTCTTTAGTGCCTTATATTTATTTGTGGATCTGAATTTGTATTGTTAATTGTTTGTATTTTCCGTGTCTTATTAGTGTTTATGTATGTCATTACAGGAGCGTATTTACCATGTAAATATAAACAGATTCTGTGCTCTTGTTTTCACTAACCATTGAGTAGGACGGCGACATCTGTTTTTACAGAGAATGATATTCGACTCTGTGGTTACTGTTAAGCTGTTAACAACAAACCAGTTACCCTCTATCTAAATAGTCGGCAGACATATGAACTGTCGCTGATTTGTCGGTTTCGCTGTGAATTAATCTTGGTCTTTTAAGCTTGTTATTCGTCTTCAGGACACGCATTTTTGAAGGCCACAATCGTCAAAAGACGCCATAATTATTATTAATTCTATGTTCATGGTTTTAAAAATCACGCGCTTTACAATGAAACACTCACGAGCGACCTAATATTTTACAGGGACGTCAAATTCAGCCGTCAAGGTTTCGGAAAATGATAGAAAATAATTTGCATTCTTATTAATGCACTACTATTATGTGAAGTTTTCGCCATTTATTTACAGCCTTACATTTCAACGAGCCATTCTGACGTGCTAGTAGAAATAACTATACCAAAAAAAAAAAAAAAAAAAAAAAAAAAAAAGAAAAAAACCTAGATTTTTTTATTAACTAACATCATAGTAGTATATATATGCTCACCCTTCGGTACTTGTAAGAAGTGAAGTCACTTCTCGGTGACTTAAAAACTTCGTATGGTATCTTAAGCATTTGTAGCACATTTTCTTTCCATTGGTACCACAAAGTTCACAGAAGTGCGTGGCTTTGGTTCTCACTTCACCCTGGTGGCAATATTCACAAAGTAATTCATTATCACTGGATCTAGAGTGTAATATGAATTCAAAGTCTAACTGTTTCACTGCAGGCTTACGTTCTTGACTGCGGCTCCTAACAGTACTTTCTGAAATGTCACTCTGAGCCTCTTGCAAGCTTAAGAAAGAACTTCCGGAATCAGTAGTGACCTCATCTCCCGCTGTAACACTTAATGTAGAAATACTACATACCACCGATTCAGTTTGATCCTCACCGAAATTTCCTCTGAAACTCATATAAGAACTTGAATCTTTGATAGTTTCTTCATCATCATCTCCACCTCTTACACTTAATGTCGAGATACTTTTTAAATCAGAATCGCCAGAGTGTCCGCGATCACCTCCTTCTGCCATTATGCACAGTAATTTCAATATTGAGAATAGCAGAATTAAAAACAATGAGATATTAGGCACATACAAATACACAAATTTATCAAACGCAATTATCCAATGTTATAACTGAATTCTTTAAATGACTGTACAACTAAGGTAAATATTATTTCCATTATCCACAAAATACCAGTACACTTATGACATAAAAATCTCTTTATGTTTAAACGGAAAATATTTATTAGGTAAACACTACACAATAACTGTCAACAAAATATATACATGTATTTTAAAGTGTTTTTATTCATGGAAACAATACGTGCTATTAATATTACAGTTTTTTGTTGTTGTTGCAAAACATGAAAAATAATATTAATTGTTTCTTTTCGGAATTAAGCATATTGTTTTTAATCTGTGATCACCCTTTGCAATAAGTACCGGTAATTACTAACATTTATTTCCTTTCTATATCCGTCATCATGCCAAGATTCATATTGAAACTTTATTTCATTTTTTTTTGAATTATGATTTTCATAATCCACCCATAATCCATGCAATATAATTCATATTCATATACAATGCTATCTTTTTACTGCGCTTTAACTACCTTATTATATTTAAATTACAAAGTGCTTCTGTCTGTAATGTAATCTTATATGCAAACCCAGTTTATGTACCGCAAACTTAAATAAATATTACAAATTAATTTTTAAGTTTACATATCTTTGTTGTATTTACAAAACATTTAAAAATACACGGATTAGTATATATCTACCTAGACCACTTAAAAACTGTGAAACTCTAACAGTGTTTAAGAGAGCACTTAAAACTCACTTTTTAAGAGGTTTTATTTGGACTGATCATTTTTATGTTCTTACCTGTATTTTATCATTCATGTGGGTCTTTTTAACTTTTTAAACTATATTTGATTTGAATTTGTGACT